CGAGGATGAAGGATCTTAAGAGGTGGATTTATTAAGTGCTCGATCGTAAATCGGTGAAAATAAAACCTGCTCGTTCGACGATGCAAAGTATCGGATGGTAAGGATAAGCGAAGACATCCGGTATCGTTTCATTGTTGAACACGAACCGGAGCCTTGATTTTGGTTCGACGGGGGACCTTCGCGTCGAGTCTGGCCGGTTCCCGATATCCGTCGAACGGATCGAATCGATCGGTCTCACCTCTCAACCCTCTCTCCCTCCCCCTTGCCACGGCTCGTCGTCGATTCGCGGACACGCCGCGATCTTGAAATTCCGCGAGCCCAAGGTGCCTCGGCACCGCTGCGTGGGATCAAGATCGAGCCAAGATCGCGAGAAAACATGGCCGGATTCGCAGAACACGCCAGGCGATTCCATTTAACTCGAGCGAGCCACGTGGATCGATCTTTCCTTCGCACGAAATCCAATCGTTCTTTCTTCGAACTCTCGCGGTTTATTGTATTTTTCAACAGTGGATGAGGAGTTTTGAAGATTCTCAATGAAATTTTCTTTTTCGTTAAAAGGCTTACGAGGAACGTTTTTCTTTTTTTCACGAGGTTCGTATAGATACTTTTGTCGTTGGCTATACGAGAAATTTCGAGGGCTCGACGAATCAGTGTTTACACCGAGAAACGTAGCTCGCGTGACTCGAGGTATTTTAATAGACGATAGCAGCGGGGCAATTTTATTTCGCGTGCGCCCGCAAACTACGGCCATCTTGCTCGTCAGATCCTTCCATCAGCATCCATTTCCTTTAACATCGTATACTCTAGAAACCATCGGTAACACCGACGAAAAAATTGTCTAAAAATTCTCCCCTCCCCCAAAAAAGAACACGTCGTTCAGCCGAAAAATCAAGGATTATTCGTACCGGTGTAGAGAACAAATTGGGACTGTTGAACGAGAGGGAAGCTTTCATCCTCCTCTGAGCACCCATCGAAAGCGAAATGAAAAATTCCCCGCGGTTCGGAGCGGGGAGGAGGCCGGACAAAAAGGAGCTTCGGGTCGCGCAGGAGAGACCGAGAGCTTTCCCGTTATGCGCCTCCTCTCTAAGCTGATTTCGAGCTGCCGGCCAGAGGCCGGTACCGCTAGCTTCCCAGAAATCGACGGCTCGATAATGCCTCTCGATACGGATGAAGCAATTTCCTACGCGCACCGCGTGAGAGGGGAAAAAAAGGCTGCCCCGTGAGAGACTCGAGGGGTGGGGAATCATCGGTGATCATGGCTGTAAGAGGGGGCAAGTGGAGACGCACATACAGGGAACACACTGGTGTTCCCTGCTCATGTTTTATTCAAAACGAATTCGAAGTGTACTCTTCATCGCGTGCTTCCTCCAGTGTGTTCCCTGCTCATGTTTTATTCAAAACGAATTCGAAGTGTACTCTTCATCGCGTGCTTCCTCATCGTCACCGATGACACGCCCGATGTCCTTCTCTTATCCGAGAGCTTTCAGGGCTGTCTTTACCCCTCTCCCGTTTTCCGTGTCGTTGGAACAGGCGCGAAAAGCTTCCTACGTACAGTTTAGGGCACCCTTTTTCGGGATCTTCCACACTCGGAATATTTCTCGGAGAAAGACTGCGGAACTTTTTTGGGAATTTTGTGATTTGCATTGAAATTGTTAGAATTGTTGGTTACGCGTGTTCGATGGAGGAGTGTTGGTTCGATAATTCGCAGATTACCGAGTCTATTTTCGGAAGGCCAGGAGTTTCAAGGTAACCTTCTGGATAAAAAAACGACGAGTCACTCGTATTTTGTCAGCTTCTCCCTGTCCGTGATAATTTATAGCATTTTGTTTTTCTTTTATATTCATCACTGAAAGTTTTACCAGGCGTGGAAGGATTAGAGAATTATTCGATTTTTTTTCTTTTATCGAGCGTGTCGTTTCTCGAACTTTGTCCCTACACCGCGGTTTAACAGAATTTGCGAATTTCGATAAATGGACGGAAGGTTATTTGACAATTCGAGAGATTCCGACGAAAGTTCTCGAGCAGCTGCAAAGTGGATCAGGTAAATTGTGCGTTGGAGATAATTGCGTCTGACTTAAATTCGATTCTACTGAACTGACCTACTATGATCGCCGCGTTCGATGTTGACGCGCGACTTTTACGAATGCCTCTCGAAAATGCTAGACGATCGAGAAACTGGTAGACCTTTCCAGCAAAGGAACGTCCGTTTCCCATCGACGACTTGATTTTTATTTTGTTGAAATAATCATTCCTAGATTTGTCTACTCTTTAAATCGAAGAAGAGATTTGTATCGATGAATTGTAAAAGATTGAAACATATTGTAAAAACGAATAATTCAGCTGACTGGCGATCGGATCTGATATCCTCGCTCGTTGCAAATTGGGACTAATTTTTTGAAAACCACACACACCGTAATTTCCTGCCCGAAACGTTACAGGACACAAATCGAATGTATCTCTAACCCGAACGATTATTATTCTGATCTGTATCGGGTCGATGGTATCGGCGTGAGCACACATTTCCTCAAGCATTGTGAAAAAGTTTTTTTTACTATTTACGTCACGAGTGTCATTCATTGTTTCGATCTCCGTTCTGCGGTTGCATCACGGTGGAAACATCAGTGAAAGCGTTCTTTTTCATCCTTCCTTTTTATTTTTTTACCGTCCGGACTACTACGTCTGCGGTCATGCTCGTGACGGAATTGCATAACTTCCATTCAACATCCTACAGAATGAATTTCCAATTCAAGAACCCGATCGATTCCCTCGCGATCGGAAGTAGCAGGATAAGCCTCTCCGTCTCGATTCGCGCGAAATTCGCGAACGTAAACACGGTGTACAATTTCGACAAGCTTGCGTTCCACGATGTACGAAAGCAGAGCCCTCGGCCAATCTGTAATCGTGTTTCAATAAAGGAAAAAATTCTCCGTGTCGCGATTTGCGGAATATTTCCTCCGGAAGAAAGGGAGAAAGCGAGATGGGGGGGGGGGGGCAAACAAAGTAACGAACATACGTCGAACTTGGAACGGAAGAAACAGAAAAGGAAAGAAAAATTCACTTTTCCAATCGGTGAAAAATTCAAGGCTCCGCCATTTTGCCAAGCTCGTGTACACGTTCCTCTCTCTCCCTCGACTCACACCCCACTGTTGGTCCCCTTAAACGGCTAACGAGAAGCCACACGGAGCCCGCGTCCCTCTTCTCCTCTCTCTCTCTTTCTCTCTCCTCCCGCGGGAAAAACACGAAGGGCCCGGTTGTCTGTGAGCATCGGTGAATCCCGAATCGATAAAACGTCAAGTACGTCGAAATAAGTGCGGAATAAGAGCCCCAGGATGGGAGAGACAACGTTTGTAGCCGGTCTCACGAGGTGCACGTTCGACTGGAGTGGCGCACCACCTTGCTTCGCTGCCAGAAAACCCGATGGCACCTTAAGGAGAGAAGTCAAGGGCATGAAGCGTCCCTTCGTTGGCCAGTCTGGCCCAGGCTGGGCCCTACTTGGACCCCACCACTCCACCTCTACGTGCCCCACCCCCTCCCCCGTGCCTCATCTTCCTCTTCCTCTCTTGTACGTCTCTCGTAGGAATCCCCCTGCCTATACTCCTCTCCAGCCCCCTTCACCTTTCTGGATTCTCCCCTGCCTCCACCCGCCCCTCCCCCTCTCACCCCTCTCTCTCTCTCTCTCTCCCTCCCTCCCTCCCTCCTCCTCCTTCCCCTCTTCTTCTTCTTCTCTCACCAAGTCGGTGTATACCTTCTATCATCCTTCCGCGCTCCCTCCACCACCTCTTTTGCCAGCCCTTCTTCTCTTCGTCGGGCTCTCCCGTTTCCACACAAACTCACGCACGCGACGGAACATACGCGTAGAGAGGTATGGTTGGATAAGTATTGGAGACTTCTCCTCGGTTGCTTTCTTGAAATTCGTCTCTCTACCAGGCAGTAGCGAGCTGCGAGTCAAGCAACGCATCGCGGCTTCTGTGTATATACACACCACACTTACGACAGAGTACGACAGAGAGACCAACCTCCTCCCCCTTCTGTTGCTTGCCATCGTCGTCTCAGAACACGAATCCATATGTATGGGGTTGTGGCGCACAGGCGATATACAGGCGACGCGAATGTGCTGACTACATTAGTGCTTCAGAGAGTATATAAGATAGCCGGTCAACCATCCTATCCCCACAGACCGAGCCAGATCGGCAGACCGTTCACAGACGGACCAACGAACCGATCTTATTGACGACACACATAGAGAGAGAGAGAGAGAGAGAGAGAGAGAGAGAGACCGCACGAGACACAGCAATCGTAAAGATTTATTTTCGTTTCACCGAACAATCGACGCGAACTGAATTTTTCAGGGGGTTAGAATCTCCGTTAACGATTGTTCTTTTCACGATCTGTCACTCGTAAACACCAACGTACCGGACGAGTACCGCATGTATTCGGATCCAGTTCGATTTCGTGCCGAGGAGAAAGTGACTTTTGTCTGACTCTACCTTCTCCGTTTTCTTCTCTCGTCACGTTGAAAAATTCTCCTTTTTTCATTTTCCTTCTTCTTCTTGTTCGGAAGACACTGTTCGCTCGAGTGATTTCTCACCTCTGAGAAGATATCGAACGTGATATCTGACGAAAGGGAGAGAGAGAGAGAGAGAGAGAGAGAGAGAGACCAGGTATCGTAGGTCGTGGTACCACATCGAATCTCCAATATTCTGTACGGGTGAGACCAGACGTTTCGTGAGTGCATCCAAGAAAGAGAGAGAGAGAGAGACAAGGTCGAGAAGATGATCCCTCTGACAGCCACCACGTGCTTCCTAATCGCTATCACCTTCCTGGCGCTCGCCCTGATCCTGCTGGATCATCTGAGATCCAAGAAGACCACGAAGAATATCGTTGTCGACGGTGACGACGAGCATATCCTGCCAGAACCACCTGGACCGAAACCATGGCCGATTCTTGGATCGCTTCATATCCTGGGACGCTACGACGTGCCCTACAAAGCTTTCGCTGACCTTGTTAGGGACTTCGACTGTCAGGTGATCAAGCTCAGGATGGGATCCATGCCGTGTGTGGTCGTGAACGGGCTGGAGAACATCAAAGAGGTGCTGACCATCAAGGGACACCACTTCGACTCCAGGCCAAACTTCGCCAGATATCATCTGCTCTTCGGTGGAAACAAGGAGAACTGTAAGAGAATTTTCTTTCCTCGTTTGCCGTTTTAACGTAGACGTAGATCATAACACCACTCGTTTCACGATCGAAATGTCATCCAATTTCCAAAACGTTTAACAACACCGACATCGCGAACAATTTTTCGTTGAAATCGAATTGATAATTAATTCGACAATCCGGAGAAACTCTCCGAAAAAGAAAAGCTTCTCCGCCGTCCCGCTTTTAATTATTCAAAACATGGTGTGTCCCGCGCCGCGGTTACGTAACAACGCTGTTCCAACACTGGAACCTTCGAACGAGTCCCGAAATTCTCGCTATTCTGGTTGGGCAAAGATTTGGAAAACGATTTACACGGGGCGATCGGTATGAGTCAGTGTGAAAATTGAATTCGTCGACACCTCGTCACGGCTGCTGAAAACTCGTTCCCCATGCTAACGACCTTGCCGTCGTACGCGACACGTGAGCAGCCGGCCCACACACCCGTAGCCGCGTTTATTTTTCGCGTGGCTCGTGCTTTCGTTTCGTCCCGGGGAACACACGCCGAAACTCGTGCTAAGGTCAACCCAGAAGCGGTACCAAGTGCAGCCCGGAAAGGTCACGGTACCACTTTCACGCGTTCCCCTGGCTCACCTGGCTCAGCCGGCAAACAGGATCAAGGCTGATCCACCGCAGGCGATTCCGAGGGATTCTCCTTCTCTCTTTCTCCCTCTTTCGCTTCCTCCGCGTCTTAGATCTTGTTCCCCGGTGTTTTTGCAACGAACTCTGTAAAAAGTACCGTGCAACATTCGGAAAATTCATTGAAAATGTTGAAATAAGAAACTTCTTGCAGTTTTCTGGAAGGATTTAGCGAATCAATTGAAATTACCGTAGAGAATTTTTCACGTGTTAGTTTGTTCGTTTGAAAGTTGGAAAATTCAGGATCTGTTGCTTATAAGGGAGCATAACCGAGCGGTATCCTGTAGAGGCGCGAGAAACCAGGTCACTTCCTATTCCGATCCGCCTCGCGGCCGCTTCGATTTCAAATCGAATCGATCGCTCGCGCGCCGATGAATCGTTTTCTGCCGAGTACGCGTGTTGTATTTCCGCGTGTGCGTTCCCCTAACTAGAAATACGCGTCGACGAATATTTCTCGTTTCTGCCATTTCGCTTGACGACGATATTTCGAAACGCTACGTGCGTCATCGCGTCGACGAAATGCCATTCGAAGGTCAAGGTTAATGTCATTGCATTTATTTTACCAATACTTACGTTAACGGGAGTATCGCTGAAAATTCGCTGAATAACAGCGATCGGTGGCTATTTGTACCTGTCGGTGAATAAGTCGTCGAGGAAATTTTCGTATTTCCTGGTTTCCGAGCTGAAATTTCCTCGTTGCGGCTGAACTTAGAACATCTATCTCTAGATTCCGCTTGTTGGAACATTCGGTGATTCGTACGAGGGGAAAAAACATGTCAATCGTTCGAATCGCGACAACTTATCGAGAATCTTCTTCCTCCTATGTTGCAGCTCTCGCGTTCTGCAACTGGTCAGAGGTGCAAAAGAACCGCAGGGAGATGCTCAGGGCGCACACGTTCCCCCGCGCCTTCTCCAGCCGTTTCAACCAGCTGAACGACATAATCGGCGATGAAATGAACGTCCTCGTCAACCACCTGGCCTCCCTGTCCAACACCAACGTGCACGCGAAACCGCTGATCCTTCATTCCTGCGCGAACATCTTCATCACGTATCTCTGCTCGAAGAATTTCCCACTGGACCACAGTGGTTTCCGCAACATGGTCGGGAACTTCGACAAAGTGTTCTTCGAGGTGAACCAAGGCTACGCTGCCGACTTCCTGCCATTCCTGATGCCTCTTCATCACAGAAACATGGCCAGAATGGCGCACTGGAGCCACGCGATCCGCAAATTCGTCGTGAAGAACGTCATCTCGGAACGATCGGACAACTGGAACGGTGTCGTGCCTGAGAAAGATTACTTGGACTGTTTGATCAACCATCTGAAAACTGGAACCGAGCCACAGGTGTCCTGGAACACTACGCTGTTCGTGATGGAAGACATAATCGGAGGACACTCAGCTATCGGAAATCTCTTGGTCAAGGTTCTGGGGTTCCTTACCACGAGACCTCACGTGCAGAAGCGTGCTCAAGAGGAGATCGATGCTATCGGTCTGGCTGGGAGTTTCGTGGGTTTGGAGTACAGAAGATCCTTGCCTTACGTTGAAGCCATCATCCTAGAAACCATCAGGATAATCGCCAGTCCAATTGTTCCTCACGTAGCCAATCAAGACAGCTCCATTGCTGGTAGGTTTAATTATTCAAGCTGAAAAATCTATTCTCCGGAAGATCCTTGGTTCTCCTTCGAGCAAATCTAATCGAACGTTCTATTCTCCTCTCTTCAGGTTACAGAATCAAGAAAGACACCTTCATCTTTCTCAACAACTACGAACTGAACATGTCCAAGGATCTCTGGACCGCTCCAGAGGAATTCATACCTGACAGATTCGTGCAGAACGGCAGGCTACTCAAACCGGAACACTTCTTACCTTTCGGTGGTGGTCGAAGATCCTGCATGGGCTACAAACTCGTTCAATACCTGAGCTTCGCCATCCTTGCCACGTTGTTGAAGAACTTCACGATAAAGGCTCTGCCGAACGAGGATTACACGATTCCGATCGGGAATCTTGCTCTACCCGAGATGACGTTTAACGTTCGATTCGAACGACGGTAGGGCTGAAGTCGTACGAATAGGTTAGCCCTGAAGGGAAAGGGCTGACTCGATGGCTGACTGATGAGTTGCTGCAACGAAGGCTTCCGAGCTTAACAGCTTAAAGATCTTAAAGAGCAACCGTGCGACACGGATGGCGTTGAAGATCCGCGAGATCAGGAAGGAGCTTCACGGAAATATTAAGGAGCAACGAGCTGAACAGAGGCTTCTGACGTTTTAGACAAAGCTTTACAGGAGCTCGAGTTGTGTCTATTGGCCAGGACGAGTTTACTCGACCTTCGTCGGCAACGAGAGCTTTACTGACATTACTAGATGGTTAAGGTAGCAAATTATTGATCGTCCGCCGACGTGTGGAACTCTCCCCTACCCCTCTGCCCCCCTATGAAAGGCGATCAGCCGCGATATCAGGAGAGAAAACTTGGACTGAAACGAAGAGGACTGAGCCCGACGGGATGCTGCATGGGAACACTGTTGTTTTAGCGGGCAATCTTAGGTAAAATTGGTGACAAGTAAATTTTTCCACCCACTTTCTCGCGACAATCGAACTTGTACTTTTAACGCTGTATACGAACAAAGTGTATCTTCTTATTTAAAGAAACGTATTCGAGGAAAAAGTTAAGTTCGTATTTCCAAAAAAAAAGAGAAGATACCTGATCGAACGACAGTCGCCAAATAGACGAGAACTACATGTTCCCTAGAAATCGATCCGTAGATCAACACTTTTACTCACTTTATATGACTTTCTTTTCTCCTGTCTCCCTTCTTCGATCACGCTTGGCATCGTATCGATCGATTACAAGGGAACACGATGAATCGGCCGGGTGATTCACGAGGATCCACGGATCAGAAATCGCCGAGTGGCGCGGATTTTCTGTTGATCCGTACGATCACGTAGCCGACTGTCGTCCGATAGCCGCTCGTTTGAAAGACGAGACGCGAGAACGTGACGAGGTTTAAGCGACGGAGAAGACGAGACGATTTCGATCGCGATCGTATTTAAAAAACGAACGAAACACCTCGCGCCCCTCCGAATTATGCGTTGACGTAATGTCCATCGTTTTGCTCTACTCGAAACTACTCGAACAGTACATCCGACGACAGTTCGATCCGATCGTTTCGCCCGATTCCCCGCGATTTCCTGGAACTGGGAACAAGTATTACAAAGTTCATTCGTATGGGAACCATGACCAATTCAGCCTTTCTATTCTCTCTTTCGTTCTGTCATTCTAAACGTTCCAAAAGATCAATGTAACCCTTTAACAGTTAACAAATTAACGATAACCTCGAATTTTCGCTTGTCTTTTCTTTATTTAGAATTAAATGTTAAAGGGTTATTGCTATACTAGCTAACTGGTCACGGTTTGCATTCTCCCATTTCTTCCGAAAGATCGTGCAGAGATCGGTGATGAAATTTGTCAGAATTTCTCGACCAATGTTCGACCAGCACAATATTCGATTGTTCTCCTCTTTTCTTTTATCGGCCGTAGAAGAACTATTCTGTTTCTTTGTCGCACCGCAGCGTACAACATGCTAATTCTTCTTAATCTCGTTTCCCGAAACAAACATCGACGCGCGTTCCTTTCTTTTCCTCTTTTGAACTTCTCATCTATCTCCTTCGTCCCGTGTTTCCTTCTCCTTCTAGGTTCAAATTGACAAAATCGTCCGCGCCACCGTCGTTCTTGCGAAAATTGATAAAAACGAAAGCAGGAAAGAACTATGTGAAACGACGGTGGACAGTGGTCGTTCGTAATAAGAAATGGGAAATGGTAGAGAACGAACGAGTTCGAGTAAGACGAGAAATCGACTTTTGGTTTTTTTCTTTTTTTTCTTTTTTTTTTTTTACTGTAATATCAATTTATTACACGACTGAGCGACCTTTTTCTTTAGAAGAGAGTCGATTTCTCGCGAGTGGATCCTCGCGAATGATAATTTATTTTCCGCTATCGAAGCATCGATTCTTAACTATTATCAGTAGTTAGAGTTACATCATCCTGTCCCTTTATCATCACATTCTCCAACACACACACGCACACACACCCCGAAACACTTTCCCTCGTTTTCTCATGCTTCCACATCCACGTACGTTATTTTGTGTTTGTTATTTAATTATCGTGATTGTTACGACATTTGTTAATTTATTATTTAAGATTTTAATAATAAAAGTGATAAACGAGATTATTTGACATGCCTCTATTACCAGTCTCTAATTACAGATGTCAGACAAGTGTCGGCAGTCGTGTCGATCGCCCTTGACGTTTCTTATCGTTCGTTTAGCGCCGCTATCAACTGCAGCTTTATTGTCGTAGCTCGGTGTCTGTCTCGTGTCAGAAGCGTGCAAACAACAATAGGAAAACGACACCGCATCTGCGATCGTTTGCAGAGCAATTAGACGATTCGGTACGAGGCTGTGACTAGAAAGGAAAAATCGGTCGTGTAAAGTGCCAATAATTCTCTTCAACGTCTACGAGAGTTTATTCAGAAATTGGAAAATGGGCAAGCGTTACGTCGTACCGATCACACTTTTACCCAATGAACACATATTTTTGATACAAGCTAGCGGTAGAAAAATGTACTCTTCTGGTGTTTCCACAGTAATGCTTCTTAAATTACGTTAAAGTTAAAGGAACACGAATCGCAGGCGACGAGTAAATCAGCTTCATTGGTTAATGATCAGTTTTAAGTAGCGAAGCTTAGAAAAATGAACATGTTCGCGTCCAAGTTAATCACAATCTCACTTCTTCCATCGATTCACCTTAATTTACTAACAGTAACGAGTATATTTAAGCAACGTTTCCAGTCTTCCAAACAGAATCAACCTGTTCTTCCTCAATTCCATTACACTCCATCAGGAACGTCCCTCAAACCCATCACCATCTTCTCCTCCTGCAGGTCAAGGACGACCTTCTTCTTCGAAAACATGTCCTCGATTTCCCTCAGCGTCTTCCCCTTAGTCTCGGGCAGCAGAAAAGCCACGAACAAGGTACCCAGCAACGACATCACCGTGAAAAATATGAAAACACCGTGTCTGCCCATCGAACTCTCCATGTCTGGGTAAGTCTTCACGGTGATCGAGCTGAAGATGTAGCTGATACAGGTGGTCAAGCCTGTCAGCACCTCTTTCACCTTCGTAGGATACACTTCGCCGACCATGGCAAACGGTATCACCAGAAATCCCAGCGTACTGGCGAAAATGTACATTAGAACGCATATGATAGGTATCAAACCTCCGTCGTTTATCTCCACGTAGCCTTTGTCCTTCATCAACAGATACGCGGACAATATTCCCATGAAGATCGTCATTCCGGAGCCGGAAACAATCGAAGGAATCCTTCTTCCGAACGTTCCAGACACCCATGCTACCAATATCGTGCCTAGGAACCTGGTTAACCCTATTAGTACCGCTCCGAAGTACGGATTTATCGTGATTCCAGCACTCTGTATGATATCCACCGCGTAATAGACCACGACAAATATACCGGAGAACTGTTGGAAGAAGAAATAGCCGAGCATGATGGTGAACGGTATCAGAGCGTTCCTTTTTAGCATGTGTCCCAGTAGATTCCGTTTCTTTCGCTGAGGACGTGGTTTCAGTTCTTGGCAGAGTTGTTGAGTGGGTGCAGCCTCTTTCGGAATCCCGTGGAATTTTTTCAAGATTTGTAACGCCTCCTCTAGACGTCCTCTGTCACGCAGCCAGATCGGGGATTCCGGGACGACGGCTAGAGTGAGGACGATCGAGATCAGGGGAAACAGGGCGCACATCAGAGCCACCGTTCGCCAGTTGTCCTTTTGGAAAGAAAGATCGTTAGGTTGATGGAGTGTGACAGGTGAGTGTGGGGAATTTTGCACACTTTTTGCATCGGGGCAAACTTTAGATAGTAGATCTCTTTTCCAATCTATACCATCTCTTTTCTAATTAAAAAAAGGGTTACTTTCAAGTGTGCAAGTATACACACTCGGTGAGTATAGAGCGATAGTTAGAAATTTTCCAGGCTTTTTGTCTCGTGACAAACTTTTCTCACATGTTTCCCCTAATTTCAACTGTATCCTCCTCCTCGAGTAGACAGAAATATAAGCATCGCTCACCTTGAAGGTATACCCGAAAACGTAAACGATCAAGACACCAATGGCGATGGCCACGCTGGTCCAAGTGACCATCGTCGATCTCCATTTAGGAGATGCGACTTCCGCGCTGTAAACAGTCGCCGGTACGGAGGCTGTGCCGGTCGCGATTCCGGAAATGATTCTTCCAACAAGAATCTGTTCGTACGTCCCGGCGAGATAAATGACGAGCCAGCCAACGATGGACACGATGGACGTTATCAAGAGACTCAGTTTTCTTCCGCGTCTCATGGTGTAACTGGAGACCATGCAACCAAGTGGAATCCCCAACGCTGTGGCCGTGGCTGTGGATTAATCGGATCCGTTAATTACGAAAGCCGTAGTACAATCTGTTTGAAATTTTGGAATACATTTCAAAATAGCTCTCTAATTTTCTCATTTATGCAGAATATCACCGACCGATCCAATTTCCTTGGAACTTGTCGATCTTCACGTCACTCGTGGGAGACATCAACGGTCCCAAAGCTACTGCGCTGTAACCAAAAGCCATGGATGGTCCCAGAACAGAGGAATTGGCGCACAACGACATCAGTATCTGGAAGAAACGTTTGATCGGTAGTCTAGCTTGTCGAATTACAACATTTCGATCTATCCACGCATTTCAAGTTGGAGAAATAGCGTTTCGCGGCGTTACAAAGTGTGTTTTGACTCGCAACGTGTCGATAAATTACATCGTACTTAAAATCCTTGACGAGATGACAGTCCATTAGCTATCCTGAAACGTGTTTATGTCGCGTTACATAAAACTTGCCTCTCTAATTGAACAATGCACTTCTCTAAACTCGTTATTATAATACCTGATTACCGAACGAAACATCGATCGAACATAATTATCACGTTTGTTGCACTACCAATTACAATCGATTTACAGCATCGACGACATAACGTCGATCGTTATTTCACCGGATAAAAGTGGAAACTCGTGATTGATGAAACTGACCGGCGCTGATATCGTTTCCGATGGATTCTACTCACGATAATGCGGATCATCGATAAGAAGGAAACTACACTTTTATTCAGATAAAGTGAATTTGGATTAACTTAATGTTAGTTTTGGATTTAGATAGGATTTCCCGGTAATCTCGCTTCCCTGTCTTTTAATTCCACAGAAAAAAAAAAAAAAAAAAAAAAAAAATCGATTTTATCAGATTTGTTAGAAATCATAAAAACCGAGAGAAACGCGTTCTTTTGGAATTGTCCGCGAGTGAGTCGAAATAAAGGACGAACCGTGTAAATGGGCAGGCAGAGGACGAAATGGTGCGTTAGACAAGGTAAAAACGAGTCAATTGAGGGGATTCTTTTCCGAAAGCAACCCTACGCTATCGTAGCAGGCCGCCTCTTCTGTGACCAATATCGAAAACCGGTTTCTACAAGAAGATTCATCGAGAAGAAGACGAGTACGACAACCACCGGTGGAATAATTAAATTAAGCCTTGAAGTGTCACCAGAAGGTTTACGTAAAGTTGCGTTTAACGTTCGATAATATCACGGTATTTTCAGTTACGCAAATCTTTCTAATAATCGTTAGTAATTCAATACATCTGTCTAACTATACGGTTGCGCTTTTCAATGTCGAAAAATCCATGGAACTTATGCAATTGATAGAGTAACTCGGCAAGTGCATAAAATTTCTTCTATCGATTTCTACCTGTACGGAAGAATCTCTCTCTCTCTCTGTTATCCGAGTGGAAAAATTGAACCATTTTCCTTAATTAAATCTCACCTCCCAATTTTTTCTTATTGTCCGACAATTTCGTAACTAAGGCGACACTACGGTGCTGGTGCAAGATATTTCGATACCACCACGAGGTCATCGATGATTAATTTCACATCGAAACGCGTGCGTCACGATAATGTCGCGAAAGAAAGAGAAAAAAGGAAAGGTTGCGCCGGCTAGCGGCAAGCGTTAAGCATCCCATGTAATTTATTACGGAGATAACAGGCCAGCCATCGGAATTTTTTACGTAAGCCACAAGAGAATCACAGAGCTCGATTCTCTTTCTATAGTTTCACGCTGTACGTTGAGATTTCTCAAATTCCTCTTCATCCGCACACTTCTCTTCTGTTCGACGCTCGCAAGGAAAACTCCGCCGAGATCAGTTTCCAACTTTGAAACGTCGAAAAATCGTGAGAACGAGATCGTTCTTATTAAGGAAAAATCGTGAGAAAGATTAAGCCAACGATAAGCTCGATCGATCGCGAATTAATGAATTCTATGAATTATTAATCCAGCATCGAACGGATAAACATGAAATGTTGCTGTCGATATGCAAACTCTTTGAACTTGTGCATACTCATTTTTCTCCCTGCTCGAGATCCTTAATTAAGCGATATTTCCTGGTAGCGTAATCTATAAGCGATTATTGTCTGGTAATCGACGTTCGTAAATCACCTCGCAGTATTAGCTTCGCTTGAAATTCTGCATTTTAGCACCGCTTTAAATAGATAACAGCTGCTGCCTCGGATTGTCGCGGAAGAAGCTACGCTTATCTTCCTCGTTTAAGAATAATTAATGGCGAAAATACCACAGACATTTTTCATCGAATTATCTACAAATTCTACGAGTTGAATTGCATTTCTTAAATCCGACCATTTTGCATTCGTATCAAAGATCACGGTCGTTGAAAGAAAACAGTCTGATCCAGCAAGCATGGCGTTATGTCACGGCAACATTTGTAGTAACGTAAAGCTCTGGTGATAAAAAAGCGTCTCTCTCTCTCTCTCTCGAGAAGTGACTCATTAAACAGAGAGGATCGCTGATACCGCGAAAACGAAATTATCAGCTTGACAAAATAAACCCAACACGCGCATTATCATCGTGCCACAATTATTGTCGTTTTCCAATAAATACACTCCCGACACGTGTCAACGACTTCTGCTGTTTTCGACAAACACGAGAATCAGTCGCGCGAAAAAATGAGATTCACTCTCCGCTGATAATTCCTGGAACTTTTGGTGACACCGGCGATCTTTCCGCTATTATCGTTAATTCGTGATTACATATTCCGTTAGAAATAGACCTGTTTTCTCGTAGAGGGAGCGTGATTTATTCGCGTGGAAATCGCGAGTGTGCAATTGCGACTCGGGGACCGTGTGTTAGTTGAATCACGCCGTCAAAACGACGTTTTGTCGTTTCAAAGTCGGCGTTAATTCGCCGATTTCTCGACGAGATATCGTTAATTGTTGATTTTCTGGACGAAAGTAATATTCTACCTGGTACACGACACCTTTTCTCTCCCGTTCCTTCGTCGCAACTGGATCCAGATCCATCTGTGTGATAGAAAAAAACGAAGATTATTAGCTTCGATTCGTTGCATATATGTATTTTCGTGTAATCGTATTTATCGTTATTTTTTTCTCTCCTTGCGTCACGATAACATCAAGTTTGCGTAATGGACTTGAAGTCCACTCGAAGATGAACGTTCCGATCTTATTTGCCTTGTCCGAACGTCGGCGAAGTGTTAAGTAGTCGATGAAACGACATTTCGCGACGATAAGTCGTAAATCGGCGTTGAAGAAAGCTCGCAGAGGAAAATTTTTTATTGTTTCGTCCGATACAATCACTCGATTATTGATAGATTTTAGCAAAGTAGAGTGTTTCGAGGTAACTCCCACGTGGTGCTAAGTATTACAACGCAAACTGATTAGCATCGTTACACAGTAATTTGCCTAAGTGGAGAACGCGGTTCGATAAGGCGATAAAAAGGTGCTCGTTATGAAAATACTTTTCGGATAAGAAAAATTACCTTGATCTCCGAGTGTCCCTCCACGTGTCCATTTACGCCGTTTATTCCGCTGGGCGTACTCATTTTGCCCTGTTTTTGTAGCGAGCCCTTGTTATCCTATCCTTCGATACATCGCTTTATCCAAATTTCTTGTTTACGCCCTGCTCGCTTCGTTTTTCACCGATAAAACGAGTCTACGTTCGATAATTAACGTGAAATTATCTCGACACGTCTCGAAAGCTGGACAGAAAAAATCGATATGAGATATTGCGTTAAGTACAAGTTGATCGATCGACGATCTTCGCTTATTTTCGTCTGAGTGAAACGACAAAGTACGATGGACAGCCAGTTAAATCGAACTAGTTAAATCGCCAGTTAAATAGAAGACAATTTACCTTCGAAAGGAGGATTACAAAATCTCCAAAGTTTCGTCCTCGTCCAGGAAATCGTCGGTGAGAAACACCTCCCGCGTAGCCAGAAAGAAAGTCATCAGCGAAAAGTCCCCGAAGCAGACCAGCAAAACTTTCTTCCACAGTAAACAATTCACTCTCCTCCAGCTGAAGAAACTTGTGCTCTCAATTTCCTCCGGCACTTCCCATAAATTCATCTCCCCTCCCGTCGATCTTCGATCGTTCTAAAAATTTCCATCTATCGATAGCTGGTTTTTCCAGGAAAGAAGAGGAAAGAAGAAGAAATACGAACGACACAATTGACAAAGTGGACTTCTGTGCAGGAAAAATGAAATTTCGTGCGAAACTTTACCTATCGGGACGATATCTCATGAATTCTGTCGATTCCCTTTCACTGTGCCGGCGGTCTCTCAATTTCCCAACGTTTTCCCAACGCTTCGAACACACGGTTGATTCGTTCTCTTTTCTATCGGCGGTGAGTAAACTTGCGGAGTCTGTTGGAAAACAAGGTAGAATCGTTCCCCGCAGGAGATTTTCCAGGTTCGGAGAAAACAGTTTCCGCGAAGGGTGGAGAAGCTGGTGGAACTCTCGTCTAAGGGGAGAAGAAAGGTTGGTCGCGTGCAGTTGCAGCCGAGTGGACAGCCACACGGAGACTCGTTATTCACTGAATGCAGGAACGGGTTTTATCTGGTGGCCACGAGCGACGACGCGGAGTTTCTTCGTTCCCGATCGCGTCGAGGAACCATTCACATCCGCGGCCGCGTTTGTCGGCACGCGTTCACGCGGAAACATATATGCCCCTGCCCGAGTCGATTCGAGGAGATAAAGGAACCGATTGCGCAACGCCAATCTCCGCTTCCAAGTATCGCCGTAGAGTGAATCGTCGCGGAGATATAGACGTCGGTGGATGGAGCGTGGGAGAAGCTGTGGGTGCTATGTTCGCGGTGGGTGAAGTGTGTGTGTGAGGTGTTTGATGTTGAGAGAATGGTGGAATTAGATGTTTAGATGGGAGTGTCGAGTGAGTTTGATTGAGATTTTTTTTCGGTGAATAGTGTTTTGGAGAAGTTGTATGACGTGTGTTTGATGTTGTTTGATGTTAAGAGAATGGTAGAATTAGAAGTTTAGATGAGAGAATTGGGTGAGTTTGATAGAGACTTTCTTTGTAGGTGAATAGTGTTTTGGAGAAGCTGTTTGATGTTGTTTGATGTTAAGAGAATGGTAGAATTAGAAGTTTAGATGGGAGTATGCGGTGAGTTTGATAGAGACTTTCTTTGTGAATGAATAGTGTTTTGGAGAGGCTGTTTGATGTTGTTTGATGTTAAGAGAATGGTAGAGTTAGAAGTTTAGATAGGAGTATGCGGTGAGTTTGATAGAGATTTTCTTTGTGGGTGAATAGTGTTTTGGAGAAGCTGTTTGATGTTAAGAGAATGGTAGAATTAAATGTTTAGATGGAAATACTAGGTGAGCCCAATGAAGATTTTTTTTTCGGTGAATAGTGTTTTGGAGAAGTTGTATGACGTGTGTTTGATGTTGTTTGATGTTGAGAATATGGTAGAATTAAAAGTTTAGATGAGAGTATTGTGTGAGTTTGATAGAGACTTTCTTTGTGAATGAATAGTGTTTTGGAGAGGCTGTTTGATGTTGTTTGATGTTGAGAATATGGTAGAATTAAAAGTTTAGATGGGAGTATTGTGTGAGTTTGATAGAGACTTTCTTTGTAGGTGAATAGTGTTTTGGAGAAGCTGTTTGATGTTGTTTGATGTTAAGAGAATGGTAGAATTAGAAGTTTAGATGGGAGAATTGGGTGAGTTTGATAGAGACTTTCTTTGTGAGTGAATAGTGTTTTGGAGAAGCTGTTTGATGTTGGAAAAATGATGGAATTAGATGGGAGTACTGGGTGGGTTTGATTGAGATTTTTTTTAGGTAAATAATATTTTGGAGAAGCTATACGACAATTCATGTTGCTTGACGTTGAAAAAATGGTAGAATTAGATTGGAGTATTAGATGAGTTCGATCGAGAGATTTTCTATGTGGGTGAATACTATTTTGGAGAAGCTATTTGATGTTGAAAGAATGCTGGAATTAGATGAGAGAATTGCATGAGTTTGATTGGGAAATTTTTTTCGTCGGTGAATAGTATTTTCGAGAAGCTATTTGATGTTGTTCGATATTGAGAGAACGGTAGATAACGAAGGTAAGTCTTTCTTTCGGAGTGTCTGTGTAAGTCGTGTAACTTTTGCGCAGTGTTAAATGTCTAGATTGATTGGTTTGATTGATTGTTTGAGCGAGTCGAGTCGTTTAACGCGTGAAAGAATGAACGTTTCTACATTGGGTGTGTACACAATTGATTGGTATTCGTTAAATCGTTCGATAAATACTCCATCTAAAGAACAATCGTCAGTACCAAATGCATAGAAAATATTTGAATATTAGACAAACATTAATCGTTCTTTTTCCTGAATTAGCATTCCAAATTTTTCTATCAATCTGGACAAAATTAGGCAGCAACTGCTTTCAAAATTTCAATCTTCTTTCACGTAATCTGAACACCAGATCTACGTTATCGAAGTGTACATACAGCAAAATACGCGGAAGAAGAATAATAAAAGCACGAATCTAAAGCATTGTCAGACACGAAGCATTAGAGCAGGCCTTGAATCGTTTACCGGTGTCTTTTCATGTCTCAGAGGCCACACTGTGACACGCTTGATCGAAAGGGATTAAAATGATCGATACATTAATCATCCCTCGAATCATCTCTTTTCTTAGGTACATCTGCTCGAGAGGATTAATTTCTTCCGGCTGAAACTTCCTGCTTGGTGCACCTCATCGGACCTTGTTGCTATTTTAAAAAGAAACATGTGCAACGTTTTCGAAGTTGATCTATCGGCAAACATTTGGTTAAACGGTGAAATGCGAAGAAGGCTGAACGACGAACCGAGTTTCGGTGCACAGAAGCGAGTAGATTTGCGCGAATTCAAGTTTAATTGAAGCCAATTATGTCGGCAAACAAATAATTAAAGCTTCAAATTGGATAATACTCTGTTTGCGCAGACGCTCGCCTCGGAACCTTCGTTCGCAATTTTCTACTTTCTTTCGCCGAATTCACTCGGTGGTTCTTATTTTCTCGGAAGATTTCAACAGTGAGATAAGAAAATTCCTTTGTCTAATACATTTATTCTTTCTTTTCTCAATTTTTCGAAATTTCTATTGCAGGAATAATCATCACCTATTATTAACGCATTCACAATTTAATCGAGTTTGGATGTGAACGCGAGTTGTATCTTTAGAGTAAAGTTCATACAGAGCAACCCAGATAAAAAACGGAGCCAATTTAAACGAAATTATGTCTGCCGGTAATTACAAAAGAGGCCCAAAAGAAAAAGAGGAACGAACGAAATTTGTTATTTATCCTGTATTGCCAAGCTACCTATAATAAAGAAAAAAATAGCCAGAAATAGGGTTGACAGTACAAAAATCTAAATATCTCCAAACGAAAAGTATATACATTAGGTCAATTTCATAATCACCGACACGCATGATCGCAGATAAAAATTCAAAAATTCACACTTTCCTCCAATTTAACTTTTCCCTGTTGCGTCCAAAATTGTTCAACACGAGTTAAAAAAGTTGAAAACATGATTTCAGAAGAATGTTATTGTAAACTGTATATTATTTGTCCGAAAAAGACAACACAGAATTTTCCTAATTAATTTATCTCCACGATGAAACGGAAAAATCGCTGTTCCGTTACGCCGCTATCATCGCTGTTGGATTATTCCTAACAGCACCCTATGGAAATAATCAAGCGAAGACAAAAATGTCTCCGCGTTATTCTAAACAAAGGCTGGTGTCCGCCTTCGAGTCCCGCCCTGCACAATGCGATACCATAAAGTAAACAGTTCCTAGGTACAAGAGGACCTCAACTTTCTTCTTGGGTGCCCAGCAGCAGTCCTTTAGTACGTTCAAAAGCGTAAGTCCGTCGATAAATAGCTCTATTTCCAAACACGCTCCTCCTTGCTATTGTGAAAAATTCGAATCGATCGGTAAATACCGTCGATCCTCCCGCGGGCCCGCCGTGCTATCGCCTCTTCCTCTCTGCACACGCTCGCCGATTCCGTAACGGAGCGAAAGTAAAGGCTCTCTCCTCGCCTTTACTTACGTTCGCTATGACGGCCGGCCAATTAACGTTCCACCTGTGCGCTTGGATTTCATCTCCCGAAAACACGTTCTCGTTTCAAGGCCAAGGACACAAGCGAAGTAGTAGAGGGAGGTCAGTGTTCGCCGCTGTCGATCTTCCTCCGCGTCGGCATGCTCCGCTTTTGACAGGAAATCGAGAAATAAGACCGACAGTATCCGACCAGACGTCCACTTCGCGTTTCCCACGTGAAACTGCACCCTTCTACTATTTTTGAGGAAACCGTTTTTAGCTTATTTCATTTCTAGAAATAGGACAATGCATGTCCGCGCAGAAACTTTCTCCGACGGCCTCCATAGCAAATTGCCGCATCATAGACCAAGGGTTTTCGAAACCGGCAGGTCACGAGTACCTGACCTGGAGGAAACTCAGCTGTGTCGCCAAATGACATCACTGCGGTCCCCGAAAAAGCGCGCCAAGGGACACGCAGCGACTCGGAAAGAAATTACCTGATTGATTAACACCGATGCGACGGGTTGACCAGTCAGGGATGATTAACACGTAGCCGAAAGGCAGTAGGAGAAAAGCGAGGCGACAGGAAGGCGGTCTTGCACGGACCTCCAAAGCCGTCAGCCAACGTTGAATAAAAAGATCTTGCTACTACCGTGTGGGTACATAGCGCAACCCTAGTCACGCCTTATTATTCGTAACCACGTTACTTCAAATGGAATAAGCACCGGCAAATTTATATTTAAAATAAGATACAACATTATTGTCGTGTACTCGCGTCGGTTTGAGTTATGTTTCAAACTTGGATCACGAGAGAAAAATCGGACTGTTTTCTAACGAGGTCTGAAGCGATCCCGGAATTTCCCCAACTTGATTATGCGTTTAGCGCTCGGACTGACTCAATACTTGGTTGTTTAACGTTCAGAATGTGTTGTATTCCGCGGCCCGCGATTCCTTGCGTTGGTTTATTATATTCAATAGGTACGCGGTAGGAGAGCCTGACGGAAACTGGGGCGAAATAAGGGAGCTATTCCGCGTGTAGTACCATTCGACTTTATTAGACACTTCGGTGACGTTCGGTGCGTGAAGACCACTAGACAAAAATCTGCTGTTTCGAGGGAAAAGGTTTCTAGATATAGGTTCTGTAAGTACAAGAGTAGGGGTTGGTCTCAGAGGTGAATGTAGGGAGAGGCGGTGAGGTCTAGGTTCAGCGATGAGTAAAGGATGATGTGGAGGTCTAGGTTTCGGGGTGACTAACGTTAGGATGATGCGGATTTGTTTACAGTTAAGGAAAGGAGGCAGGATGACTAAAAACTAATGAAAGATAGGAGAGAGGTATACGACAAATGATACTGATTCGAAATTCAGAGGAAGTCAGGCATCTCAGCTACTGAGGGTGGAGTTTCATTTTGGAAGTGAAAAATGGGAGAAATAAGAACATTAAGTATTGGTCGTAGGGTGTGGTGGTAGAAGCTGGTGGTAGAAGGATGAGGTGTCGGGGTTCTGGGGAATTCCGAAAAAGGAGATAGCACATGAGAGAAGGAAGACACTAGTTCAGTAATTGGAAAATCGGGACAATGGTTAATAAACTGAGGGTGGTGTCGGGGTTCTGGGGAATTCCGAAAA